AATCCATACATGATAGCTTCCATCTGCTAATCCCCAGCCTCCCACTCCATCCCTCCCCCAACCCCCTCCCCCTTGGCAACCCCCAGCCTGATCTCTGTGTCTGTGAGTCTGAAGAAATCACAGTTGTCACCCCTACAGGGGGACGGTCTCTCCTTCCTTCATCTTCAAACCTCCTCCTTGGCCATTTTCTTTGCCCACAGAAGCCCCCTCATCCTCACTCTCAAGCCATCCCAACTTGTCACTCCCTGGCGCGAGGACACACTTGGAGTCCCGGAAAGGTACAGCTGGGAAGGGTCTTGGAAGTGAGCCTCCAGCCCCTCCCTCAGGAGATAGTGCGTGAGTGCGCCTAGCCCTGAGGCTGTGACTCTCCAAGCCTGCCCCGCTCCTTCCCTGCGGGGACTCTCCCACTGCACCCTCCTGCCCCCTCTCTCCCGTGGGGCTGCTTCTCCAAAGAGGACCAAATCCTTCATCCGTACCTACCCATCTCCTGGCTGCAAGAACTACCACACTTGAACTTGGTACTTTGCTTTGATGGAAAACTTTTTATTTTTTTCCACTTAAAAATTTTTTAACTTAATTTTTATTTTATATTGGAGTTAGTTTCAGGTGTACAGCATAGTGATTCAGTTATACATATACATATATCCATTCTTTTTCAGATTCTGTTCCCATGTAGGTTATTATGGAATATTGAGGAGAGTTCCCTGTGCTATACAGTAGGTCCTTGTTGGTTATCTATTTTATATATAGTAGTGTGTGTATGTCAATCCCAAACTCCCAGTTTATCCCTCCCTCCCCTCTTTCCCCTTTGGTAACCAGAAGTTTATTTTCAAAGTCTGTTGAGTCTGTTTCTGTTTGAACTCAGTACGACTAAAGCTCATTTTACATGTGACAACTTTGGGATACAGTTTTGATTCCCAAATTATGAGGCTCCCAATTTTAGGTGGGACAGATTCATGGCGTTAAACCTCATTGAATCACATAGTGAGAAACATGTTTATTTTCTCTGAATTCCTCAAGAGAAGCCTCAAGTAAGTGCTGATCTGTAGCTAAGTCTTGCTCCATTCCCTTTCAGCCAGGAGTGAGGTTTAGCAGAAGCAGAATCCAGCGAGAGTGAAATCGCATCTGATTATTGTTTTTTCGACTTCATTTTATTTATTTTATGAATGCCTTCTCATACTGACAGTTGGTGCTGGTATTCAAATTGAGTCAGAGGTTAAAGGTTTCCATTTTAAATAATGTTAAAAATAAAGGAAGAGGGGGCTTCCCTGGTGGCGCAGTGGTTGAGAGTCCACCTGCCGATGCAGGGGACACGGGTTCGTGCCCCGGTCCGGGAGAATCTCACATGCTGCGGAGCGGCTGCGCCCGTGAGCCATGGCTGCTGGGCCTGCGCGATCGGAGCCTGTGCTCCGCAACGGGAGAGGCCACAGCAGTGAGAGGCCCGCGTACCGCAATAAATAAATAAATAAATAAATATATATATATATAAATAAAATAAAGGAAGAGGGACTTCCCTGGCGGTCCAGTGGTTGGGAGTTCGCCTTCCATTGTAGGGGGTGCGAGTTCGATCCCTGGTCGGGGAGCTAGGATCCCGCATGCCTTGGGGCCAAAAAACCAAAACATAAAACTGAAGCAGTGTTGTAACAGATCCAATAAAGACTTTTAAAAAATGGTCCACATCAAAACAAATCTTAAAAAAAAAAATAAAGAAGAATCAACCTAAATAAAACATTAAGTAGATAAAATTTTGGTGACACGGGCTATGGTGCCACACGCACGCACGCACACAAAAGGCCCTCCAAGCAGTAGAAACGAGGTTTACAGAACGGTTCACAGTATCTACTGTGGAGGAGGGGGGTTTGGACAATGCAAACCTCTCTTTGGCCTCAGAGGGCATTTCTGTTTACCCAGGCCATGAATAAAAATACCTCACAGCATACATTTTAGTCAGCAAGTATTCTAGCCTAGTGGAAATGATTTACTGAAATTTAGACCTCCTCATGAAATCCAGCCCAAACTCTGATTTGGAAAACCAAGAAGTCCTATTTAGTTTCTGCTGTCATTGTTCCTGAACCACGCTGACTGCATAATTAGTGACATATAAAGTTCTTAATTCTCTCTTCTTCTTTCATCCGGGTGTCAGGAGATTGGTTTGCGCTCCTTTGTGCTCACTCACTAAGAATTTGCTGAACTGATTATTCAGTTTGTAATAAGTGGAGGAGGTCACCTTGGTCCATACCTCACTTGCTTCACGCCTGCAAAAAGACCGGATCTTCCATGTGTGAGTGTTACTTGACGGGAGAGCAGTGAAGTTTCTGTCAATTGAGGTTGTACGTCTGGCAGCCAAGAGTGTCCTGTAGGTATTCTTTGCAGGAAAAAATATGTTTGAGGTGACCATAGTGCACAGATTCTCTTAGAGCTTCAAAGTATTTATAACCTGTTATTTTAGATTCTGAGCATATTTGTAGCTCCAGAGGTACAAAAATAAACTACATTTTCTTGGAAAATGTGTGTGTCTGGGATGTAAGAGGAGTTGCAACCTTAAACAAGATTTCCAGGCGTTTACAGTCGAACCATGCCAGTAAAAATATGTTTTTTTAGATGTTAAAATCCTAGGGTGCCCACGTAAATATCCTAAGCAGTGTGTGTTACGTGAGCTTCCTTTGCTAATGTGCTTTAGCTTTGAAGGTCTTCAGTTCTGGCTCCTTGGGTGTTAATGTACTGCAGGGAAAGTTGAACTCAGATGGCAAGTCTTGTTTGCTGTTCAACACAGTGGATGGTGTGCTTCCCACATTCAAGAGAATTGTTACTAACGGAGGTAAAAGTCACATCACAGTTGATGAGGTAAAACTCCTTGCTTGTAATACTCCTAGCAGCGTAGAGGTTTTTGTTGGGCAATGAGAAAAGACAGCAGGTTTACCCATCACTCACTCTTCAATCATCTCTGTCTTAACAAGCACCACTTAATTTTCCGTTCTCTGCAAAGCTGTGTGGGGAGATGGGTACGCAGAGAGGAGAAGCTCGGGGGAGACCCTGTGCTCATGGAGCCTGAAGTGTGATTTGTTTCATCAGTGTTTCCCAAAAAATCAGGATAAATTGCTTCTTTGGTCAAAATATAACTTTCCAAAAGTTAAAAAACAATACTTATTCAAATATGCAGTAAGCACATGTTGAAGACTTATTTCACTCATTAACGAGGGAAACAGTCAGATGACAAAGCCGGTTCAAAGAAGGATATGAAAAAAATAGGTAGGGAGGGAGGTAGGCAGACAGACAGATAGGGTGATTGGAAAAAAGAATGCTGGAATAAGGTGGCAAAGTTAGACCCAACTGCTTAATGTCCTACAAGGCAATAAAACAATAATCTTTGGTTATATTTCAACCAGGCAGGAATCTTCGCACCTATACTAGGCACATAAGATTTATAAGTTACCAGTCTTCTACAATCTTTACAGAGTCAAGGTCCAGTCAATAATAAACAGTAAGTCAAAGGAAGTTACATTTCCCGAGACCGTTAGATGACTCGTGTAAGTTTGTCAGTCAGTGCAGCGTATACATTGCCCGAGGAACTTCCTGCAATGATGGAAATATTCTGTACATGTGCTGCCCAGTGCGGTAGCCCCTGCACATGTGTAGCTGTTGAGCACTTGAAGGGATTAATCTCCAGAATTTACAAGCAGCCCATGAAGGTCAATATCAAAAAAAAAAAAAAACCCAAAAAACCACAAACAACCCAATCAAAAAGTGGGCACCATTGTAAAGCAATTATACTCCAATAAAGATGTTAAAAAAAAAAAAGAAAGAAAAAGTGGGCAGAAGACCTACGTAGACATTTCTCCAAATAAGACATACAGATGACCAAAGAGGCACATGAAAAGATGCTCAACATCACTAGTTATTAGAGAAATGCAAATCAAACTACAATGAGGTATCACCTCACATAGGTCAGAATGGCCATCATCAAAAAGTCTACCAATAGTAAATGCTGCAGAGGGTGCGGAGAAAAGGGAACCCTCCTGCACTGTTGGTGGGAATGTAAATTGGTTCAGCCACTATGGAGGTGCCTTAAAAAAAAATACCTAGAAATAGAGCTGCCTTATGACCCAGCAATCCCACTCCTGGGCGTATATCTGGGAAAAACATGGTTTGAAAGGATACGTGCACCCCAGTGTTCATTGCAGCACTGTTTACAGTAGCCAAGACATGGAAGCAACCTAAATGTCCATCCACAGGTGAATGGATAAAGACGATATGGTACATACATACAGTGCAATATTAGCCATTAAAAAGAATGAAATAATGCCATTTGCAGCAACATGGATGGACCTGGAGATTATCATACTAATTTTATTTAATTTTCATTATTTAAATAGCCACACGTGATTCGTAGCTATCATATTGGACATCACAGCTCCCACATGCCATTAAATGAGCAGACAATCATTTTTCTGCCTTGTTTCCAATCTTGGATAATATTTTTCTAAACACTTTGCAAATTAAATCATGTTTTAAATATTATCACGAGAGCTAAATATGTAAAAGCATTTGGAGAAGACTCCTTTGGAAAGACCTAATTCTTTCACGAAGCATATAATTTCTTCTGCAAATGGAATGCTTCTTCTATTGGCTTTCTTGACAGTGGACTCACCTGATATTGTTCTGGCCAGCAAGGGAGCCACTTAGGAAGTTAAGCCTGTTTGGAGTGAACCCAACTCTGCATTATGTTTTCCAAGTGAATTCGCTTGGTATTCATTTTCTTTTAGCAAGATAATAACGGGCAAGTCCAGTTTTGATTAAAAGGGGCTTTCTGGTTTGCAGCAAAGGGAGAGAACTGACTATTCATATTTCACAAGGATTTTAAGGCTTAAATAAGTTAACTTTTCTGCCGCCATCACTTCATTACTCAGAACGAGCAGGCAATGCATTGATAAGGTTGGCTTTGATTTCTCATGAAGCTCAGTAGTTTTGCTTAATTTTCTCATCTTCTTGGTTGCTTGCAGGGGTTTTTCCGCAGAAGTATTCAGAAGAACATGATTTACACTTGTCACCGAGATAAGAACTGTGTTATTAATAAAGTCACCAGGAATCGATGCCAGTACTGTCGACTCCAGAAGTGCTTTGAAGTGGGAATGTCCAAAGAATGTAAGTGGAGTCTCCAAAAAATTCTTTTCTCTTTGCCTTATCTATAAATATGATTGCTCAGCCTCCAAAATCAAGTCGTGGAGGACGTCAGCGTGTGGAATTCAGACGTGACACGAGTGATAGTTTGCCAGGGGTAGGTGTCAACAGAGATGACACGGAAATAGAACAACCGTGGGGATTTTCAGATACAATTTGAGTGGCAGTTGGTGAAAAGGCAGGCGCTGGGTGTCGTGGACAGCAGGCTTGTATTCCAGAGCGGTTACTAACCAGCTCTGTGTCTCTGAGCCACTGGTAACTGGTCCTAGAGCCACTTGGAGACTCTGTTTCCCCATCTCGACAGTAGGAATAGCGAGCTTTGCCTGTGTTGATGAGAATAAAACGAGGCGAGAGGCATGTGGTACTAATGGACCCTTTTTTCAGAGGGTCCATCAACCGTGGTAATAATGGACCCTTTTTTCAGAGGGGAGGGAGCGTAAAACTTTTGCTGTCGAAGAAGCATTTAGAAACTTGGCATGTTGGCAATTTTCCAAACTCGATTCAGCCCCACTCCTCCAAACAGTTATTCACTTGATTAATTCAGAAGAGAATATTTGAATAGATTAAAAATGAGTGGTCCATAATCATCTGCTTGTGGGGCTTTGAATTATACATGCAGAGGACATATACAGGCAGAGGACATATACAGGCAGAGTACATACAGCACCAAAAAATCACGAAGGGAACAAGAACGTGCCAGGCGCGTGGCCGGGCTCAGGCAGGTGTAAGGAAGATGCAGGGATATGTGCCTGGTTGGGCGCTCAGTGGAATCGCTGCCCACCTGCCCCCCCTGCGTCCTGACACTTGAGCATCTGAGTGGGGCACTGGACGGGGCGCTCTGAGGGGCCCTGGAGATGCTAAGCCACGCCCACTGACCCCTACGAGAGGGAGACAAAAAGCCACAGTCCGACAGCGGGGTTTGAAGGCTTTATGTTGGTTAGACGCTCTTGGATTTTGGAACTGGGATGTGTGGCCATGGGAGCGAGGCCCCTGGAGCCGGGCAGGGCTTCCCTGAGAGTGCGCAGCTGGCCGACGGGAGCTCTGCTGGGAGCTCTGACTTGGGATGTTTCTTGGCGGCCTGCCCAGTGTCTTTCCTGCCCCTTGCCTTTCCTAATTCTGCCCAGGGTTTACATAGGCTTTTCTACGTCTTGGGTTTCTACTCCTCAGGGAAGACATCAGGGTTGGATCCATTCGTTTGACTCAAGCCAATCAGTATAACCTGTCGCAGCCACAGTCATTGGTTCATGGCGAACGTGTAACCTAGGCTGTTCCAGTGAGAATGAGTTCAAGACTCATGCTCGTGACCCATAAAAGGAAAAAAATGGTAAATCAGACTTCATCAAAATCAGAAAATGTCTGTCCAAATGACACTGTGAAATTAATGACAAGCCAAGCCACAGACGAGGAGAAAATATTCACAAATCACATATCTGCTAAGGACTTATATGTAGAATATGGAAAACCTCTGACAATTCAATGATAAGGAAGGAAATAACCCAATTAAAAAACCAAAACTAAACTAAAATTCAAAATTGCCAAGATTATGAAAGACAGACAGACTGAGACATAACAGCTAAGTGCAAGGCATGATCCTGGTGACCCTGCAGTGGAGGAAAGCTACCTATAAAGGGCATTATTGGGACAGTTACTGAAATTCGAATATAGGTTGTCAATTAGAATATCACATTGAATCAACTTTGCATGTCCTGTCTTTGATCACTGTGCTATTGTTACATAAGAGAATGTTCTTATTCTTGATATGTGCCGCCTACTCTCCATGGTCCAAAAGGGCTGTGTGTGTGTGTGTGTGTGTGTGTGTGTGTGTGTGTGTGTGTGGAGAGAGAGAGAGAGAATGAAAGAGAGGAAGAAAATGTGGCAGGATATTAAGACTTGTGAATCTGAGTGAAGGGATACACAGTGAAGGAGTTCCTTGAACTATTCTTGCAACTTTTGAGCAAATTTGAAATTGTATCAAAACAAAATGACTAAAACAAAAGACTCATGCTTAGAATATTGGGGCAGAAGTGTCCTGCCTTCTGATGCATGTGAACAAGGAGACGCGAGTGTTCTCCAGCCCCAAGGGAGGTCAGCTATAGGACAGAGCAGGCTCTGTGGATGGAAGAATGGAAAGACAGACAGAACTCGGGCCCTGACTGGCATCCCTGAGTTGCCGAACCCACCACCCCTGGAACCTCTGCCTCCGATGGTTTGCTTCTCTCTGCCAAGGACTCACGAAGGCAGTTGAGGCTGGGGTCTTATTCACAATTAAGGTCCCGATGAGCAAGCCTGGAGTCACCAGACAGGGATGCATGCTGGGTATGCCGTCCCTTCTGGGAGGGTCACCTCCTCCAGGCGGTTCTGTTGCCCGCATCTCAGCCAGATCCTTTGATCCCCTCCAAACTTTAGAGCTATTGAATGACTCTTTCCTTCCAGATTGAGTTGGTGTAGTACATTCTTGGTTATCAAAGTACTCATAGCTTTGGGACTTTGAAATGGTAAATATTCATGGTGTGTGAAAAAGCATGATACCTAACTGTATGGTCTTAATTACATAAACATGGATGCTGAGTTGTGTAAATACAGAAACGAGACCTAGAGGGACACACCAAATGGTAAACTGCTCGGGATTACGGATGACTTTGTTTTCTGCTTCTTGTGTTTTTTGGTTTCCTATTATGCACATGTTAACTTTTAAGAAATAAATGTTATTTTAAAAACCTTCTTAAAAAAATCCATGAATGTGAAGCTTTCAAGCTAATCTTTACTTAGCTCAGTCCCCAAACCCTGGCACTAATGAGAAAAGCATGATATTGCCCTGAAGTAGGCAAATTGTTTATATGTATAAGCGAGACTCACAGGATTATCCCCCCGACTCCCCATTTTTGGTCTGACATTCTGTAGATGTGGATGTTGCACTGCAGTTCTGTGGGAGAATTTCAGTTCAGGCTAAAATTATAAATGAGTAAGCCAGATGTGGGCTCGGGGTAAATCAGTACTTTTGCATTTATTTTGCGTGGGCTGGAGACCCATTTCCTGCTTACATTGCTTAAAACCCATATCCTGCTTCTCTGTAAAAACTGGAAGGTTGGTTGCCAATTAAAAAAAATAATGTTTACACCCACAGGAGAACTCTAGTTTCAACCCTCCAGGAACTTGTCACCTTAATTAGATTTAAAAATATAGAAATGGGAAGAAAATGGGATCATTATGCCCAAGTAAACAAAAATAAATATATTTTCTTCAGAAGGAAATTGAAGGGGAAGAAATATCCACTTGGAGTACAGTGACCGAGAGTCTAATAGAACATTTTAAAAGTTGAAACAGAAGGAAGCAGGAAGATAGGAGAATCACTAATCAATTATACCACAGTACCCACCACTGAAACAAACCCAGGAGTAACAGAGACTCATAGGACGGTGGAGCATATGAGAATCACTCATCAATTATACCACAGTACCCACCACTGAAACAAACCCAGGAGTAACAGAGACTCAGGACGGTGCAGCTGAAAACGGATCTTAGAGACTGATTTTCACTCACCTCTCTCCTTTGACATACGAGTACACCAGGACCCAGAAAGGTGAAACGCTCTTCCCAGCAAATCCCCAACTGGCTAAAGACAGAACCAAGCTTACAGTTCACATCTGCCACCTCTGCTCGCCATGCTTCCTTTGCAGCACCAAGATTAGCAAGGTTTGCATTCCACTGGGGCCAGAGGTCATGTCACTTCACGAGTATGTATCAGAACCCTTTGGACGCAAGGGACAGAGAACCCAGCTCCAACCTGACATAAGCTAAAAAATCAACACATGTCGCTGGATGACACGACTGGATGCAAAGGCTCACGTTTGTTTTGGGGGCATTCTCATCGTTCCTCTTCATTTCTCAGAGCTGGTTTGTTGTTGTTTTTTTTTTTTGCTGTGCTGGTTTTGTTTCTGGGAAGATTTTCCAAATGGCCAACCAATGGCCTACCCGGCAGAAAGAGAGAGCCTCAGATCCTCTGTGAATGCAGGACTTTGGGGTGTTGGGGGCTGAATATGGTGATTGGCTAGTTTGGGATCGTGTGCCCAGCTCCAGACCCACCCAAACCACAAGAGCCAAGGGTGTGGAAGAAGTGTTTCTCGGTGGGAAACCAGAAAGTCAGGAGGCAGAAACAACTTCATGTTCCCCACGAAATATCGTCTCACAGCGCTGTTCCCAGTACGTTCTTATTCTTTATGCTGCAGGGGAAAAGAAAGAAAGAAACCTGAGAATCATCCCATGGTAGCCGCTAACATAGACGCGGTGTTTTCTATGGGCCAGGCACTGCATTAACCTCTTGTAATACTTCATACCATTTGATCCTCATAGCAACCCTGTAAGGTAGGTTAGTTATAATTCCTCTCTCCCTCCTTTCCAGCAAGATGTGGAAGCTGAGGCACAGAGAGGTTAACTTACTCAAGGTAACACGGTTGGTAAGGTGCAGCCCTGGGATCTGGGCCCAGGGAGCAACATATACTGCATGCCGTAAAAAGCAGCCTTGAAAACTCTGGGTTTTATTGCCAGTGGTTAATAAAACAATAATTACACTCCTTGCTACGTATTAGAGATGTACGCCCTGGAAAATCATGTGCAAATTTAATTTTCATAGATCACATTTGGTTTTAAAAGTATAAGGGGATGTACTGGTAAAAGAAATCCTTTATTGTGTGTCCCGTCAGCAAAGCATGATTATTTCTTCATTTTTCTGTTCTGTAAATGCTGGTGGGTATGCCTTATATTTTCCAAGGGCTTTGTACAGTAGGGGAACCTTTTTTGTGGAGGAGTAGCTCTTTGTCAGACCATGGGATTTGAAAGCAGTAACAGTAAGGGGAAAAAAATCGATTTTCAGCTGCATTCTAAAAGCAGTACAAAAATTTATGAAGAACTTGGGGAGGAAGCAAAGGAAGTAACACGACTCCCAAGTTGAGTGATGAGCTTCTGCTGGCGGGTGGGAGGCTTGTAACCGTGTCAGGCAAGGAAAGTGTGTAGCAAAGCCCTGAAGTAGGAACAAGGAAAAAAGGATCAACAGTAAATGAAGACACAAAATTTGGGATTGTCAGTGAGCTATGCAGACAAGCTTATGTCCGTGATGGGGAGGGAGCCAGTTGAGACCATGCTGCTTGGAGACCACAGGAGCTGACCACACGCATTTGAGTCAGTTACGGAAATCCCAGCGATCGTTCAAGTCTTTCAGCCAGCGATCCTCAGACTTTTAAAAAAGGGTCCAGTAGGAAATGTTTCGGCTTCGTGGGCCGTATGACGTCTGTCTCGGTTCCTTAACTCCGCCGTGGTAGCACAAACGCGGCAGTAGAAAATACGTGGACAAAGGGGATCTGCCTGTGTGCCGGTACATCTTTACTTACAAAAACAGGTGTAGGGCTGGGTTTGGCCCGAGGCTTGCAGGGGCTCCCCCAGTGGTGACCTCACCCCCAGCTCGCCCCCGCCCACCGTCCCCTGCTTTCCTCCGACGGACCGTCACCCAGCTTCCAGCTGCCCTGGAGCCTGAGGACCCGTGAGCCTCACAGCTGCACTCTCCGGCAAAGGCTGTTCCCTGGGGTTGGGTTTCCACTCGTTTGTCCGAGGAACTGCAGGAGTTTGCTGAGATGCCATTTGCTCTTGGAAGCCGCCCCCGGACCCCACCCCACACTCCCGGCAGAGTTATGCACTCTTCCCCCTGCGCTCCCGCGGGGCTCTGGACATACGTCCAGGAACCACAAGCTTATAGCGCGAGGCTCCCTGGCTTGATTATAAACTCCTGAACGGCAAGCGTCCTGTCTTCCTCACCTTGTAGGCCGAGAAGCTAGCACGATGCTTTCCTCAGCGAAGTCAGAGTGGCCAAGTGGTTTCTTTACTTATTTATTTATTCTTTATTGGAGAATGATTGATTTACCATGTTGTGTGAGTTTCAGGTGTACAGCAAAGTGACTCAGTTATACATATACACATGTCCACTCTTTTTAAGACTCTTTTCCCATATGGGCCATTACAGAGTGGAGTGTTGGTTCCCTGTGCTCTGCAGCAGATCCTTATTAGTTATCTATTTTATATATAGTAGTGTGTATATGTCAGTCCCAGTCTCTCAATTTATCCCTCCCCCGACGCTTACCCCGCCCCCCCGTAACCATAAGTTTATTTTCTACATCTGTCACTCTATTTCTGTTATGTAAATAAGTTCATTTGTACCGTTGTTTAGATTCCACATATAAGGGGTGGGTGGTATTTGTCTTTCTCTGTCTGACTGACTTCACTCAGTGTGATAATCTCTAGGTCCTTCCATGTCACTGCACATGGCATTATTTCATTCTTTTTTATGGCTGAGTAATATTTCAGTGTATATGTGTACCACATCTTCTTTATCCATTCCTCTGTGGATGGACATTTAGGTTGCTTCCACGTCTTGGCTATTGTAAACAGTGCTGCAGTGAACATTGGGGTGCATGTATATTTTCGAATTATAGTTTTGTCTGAGTATATGCCCAGCAGGGGGATTGCTGGATCATATGGTAGCTCTATTTTCAGTTTTTTAAGGAACATCCGTACTATTCTCCATAGTGGCTGCACCAATTTACATTCGTACCAACAGTTTACTAGGGTTCCCTTTTCTCCACACCCTCTCCAGCATTTACTGTTTGTAGACTTTTTGATGGTGGCCATTCTGACCAGTGAGAGGTGAGATACCTCACTGTAGTTTTGATTTGTATTTCTCTAATACTTAGCGATGTGGCTGTATTAAGAGATGACCAAACCCAGCATCTCCCTAGCTTTACATCGTGAAAAGTTGTCAGTCACAGAGCCTTTCTGGGTATAGCTATTCAGCTGTCACTCACTCACTTCTCTGCTCCGGGCCCAGAACAAGTTATGCACCTTCTCTGGGGCTGTGTTTTCTACCTGGATGCGAGGAGCATTACTGTTGACTGACAGCCTGGGTGTGATTTGAGAACTGATGCTTTTCATCCTGTTTAGACAACAGTGTTTCGTCAGTCAGCTGCCTCTTGCCAGTTGCCTGTCCTGGAAGACGTCAGATCTTCTAGTGTGTTTGCTGGGCAGACTGTTCAGCTGAGCAGGCATCCTGTGTGACTGTGCACGAAAGGCCCAGTGAAGGTGGAGAGGCTGAGATGGACAAGGGGTGGCCGTGGGATTGCGGCTCCCTTTTGCCAAACCTTGGTGATAACGACCAAGGTTCTTGGCCTCCTCAATCAGTAGAAATTTATTAGAGGCCAGACAAGAAATCCAGGCAAGGCTTTATTGGGGCCCTTGCTGCAGCAGAGGGGAGCGAGAACAAGTAACAGGTTCCCTCGCTCACTTGCCCCCTGAGTGGGGGGCGAGCTGGTTCCTTATATGGGATGAGGGTAGGGGTGGGGCCAGAGGTGTGGCTTAGGTGGTCTGCCCGCCCCTTTGGTGGTGCTGAGTGCACGGGACATGCGCAGTGCCCTGCTTTCGCTCCGGGCTCTTCAGAAGTGGCAGCTGGGTTTTGGGTCTTTTTGTATCTTGTACATAATTTTTTCCCAGCTGTGCATGCACACAGCTATTTTCAGTCCCTTATAGTTTCTTTGTATTTTGTTGCTGGAGCAGAGTTTGTCCAGGTGCAAGCACTGCAGCAAAGGGTCCCAGGTCCCAGGTCCCAGCCTGTCTCATTGTCAGTGAAGTTGCTCACAGACAAAAGGCAGAGGTGCAGGAACAGGCTGGACTTGGGGGAGGAGAGTGGGACATGAGAACTAGCCTGAACGAAGGCTCGTGAGCTGTGGTGAAGGGGGAATTGTGGTCCCTGGTGCCTTTAACATATGCTGGGTTCCCTGAGCCTCTGGCCTTCAGGTTGGGCACCCTCCACCAGTGTCTGTAACAAAAGATGTTAGGGAAGGTACTGAGGCTGTCACCCCCTTCTATTTCTTCTTTCCTTTCTCAAAATCGCTGGCTTTTAATTTACAAAGGACCCTCTTTACATTCT